AGGGAGCTCTCTGTCCACCAGAGTCCCGCTCAGCATCAGCACTCAGATAATGCTAGACTCTGTGAGTGAAAACTAAAGCGATCTGAGAAAGGGAATGCATGTGATACCAGGTATATTGAGCTGGGATAGGTGGGAGTATCCACTGCAGATTATTTTTTAATTGAAACATGTGAATGGTAGGTTTCTGTGCAAGATGGGAATGCAAGACTGTAAATATTCGGTGGGTTTTAGGATCTCAGCCCTAGGACTGTGTCCTCTGAGCCCTACTGTCTCCCCTGTGCATATCCTCCAGAGCTCCTGGTGTGCTTCTTGCTTAGAAATTCTGCCTCTTCTTTTTCCTTCTGGGGAAAGAAACTGTTTGATACGCATTCCTATGCATTTTATATCAATATCAGGGAATGCAACTTCCACAAATCCTTTCTCTCACCCCCAAACACATCTTTGTGAAATGGGCTCCTAGGGATTGGATGCATTTCGTGTCAGCCCCACAAAGACAGCCTCCATTGAGAAATGACTGCATGCAGCACACAGCTCCCACAGTCATTTGGTACCTCAGTATGCTAGTTCTGCCCGTTTTCTCCAGCACTGTCCTTCACTCAGTCTCTTCATTCCTTCTCTTTTGCCCACTGCTGAGCTGCAATCTCCTGTTCTGTTCCTCAGCCACGTGCTGTTGCTGCTGTACTCCTCCCTGCCCTTGTCTGCTTGGGTTACTTAAAGGAAATGTCCTGAACAGTCTGTTCTTGTTTGCAAACACCTACTGAAAGGCAGTCCCATCTGGCGGGGCTCATGCAGAGACACTCCCCAAATCAATATGATTAACATTGATGCAACATAGTATGGAGGCAGCACAGACAACATTGTGTATTTCCTGGAGGCCACAGCAGAGCATCCTTATAGAAAGGGGTCTTGTTTAGGCAAAACTGCAGAAACCCACATGACATGGTTTGCTGCAGTGCAGGCACTCCTGACACTCCTGTGCAAAGCTGTATGTCGCAACAAGTTCTTACTGAGCATCCAGAAGGATTAGAGGGCATGGAGCAGCGTGTGCAATGTATTTGGACTTAAATCTGATCTCATATCACACTTTCTCAGAGTCTTAGCAGCATCCTGCTGTGCCAAGCTTTTCTATCCTAAGAAGCAGGGCTCAGTGTGGTTATCCTGTTCCTAAATCAAAGTTCTTATGCTGTTCCTGGCTGAGGGAGCTGGTGACTTCTGACAGCATAAGGTGTCAGGGGACACTTATGTCCCCTCCTTTCACAGAGGACATTGTGACCATGTGAATTAGTAGGATAAAGGAAAGAAGCTTCTGGCAAACAGGACACCATGCTTGTTCGAGCACTGATTTGATGGGCCACAGAAGTCCCAAATGCAGTCAGTGATGCCCATCTTTAGGCAGATCTTCATAGAATCTCTTTTTTCACAGAGAGGCTGTGGATGCCCCGTCCATCCCTGGAGGTGTTCAGTGCCAGGTTGGATGGGGCCCTGGGCAGCCTGGGCTGCTATGCAATGCGGAGGTTGGTGGCCCTGCATGTGGCAGGGGGTTGGAGCTTCATCATCCTTGAGGTCCCTTTCAACTCGGGCCATTCTGTTATTCTATGATTTTCCTAAGCCAGTCCTCACAAGTCTTATTTGCAGCTGCAACTATACAAAGAGCTTCCAGTACTCCAGACCCTTTCTTACTTCTGTTGAGCTGTACTTCTAACAATCCACATTTTTTCCCTCCTTACTTCAAGCATTTCTATCTTGCACAAACATGAACAATATTAATTCCCCGAGTAAACTTGAAGAACAAAGACTCAGAGATAAGATTAGCTTACCACAGAGATGTTTATAAGGCTTTTTTCCCTTCCCTCCTTCTTACGAATTTCACCCCTTGGCAGGCAGGTTGGGGATTGCATAACAGTTTAGCTACACATAATTAGAGGGCACAAAATTATATGTGAAGCAGGCATATTATCCACTATGGATAACAAAGGCTTACCTGAGTTTGAAAGCGTATGGAGGAGTTTATAGAGGAGAACGACTGCAAAGACTTAATGTGAAGTTGCTGTGTCTGGTTCAGCAATTCCTTCAGCTGTAGAGTACAGAGATCTGAGAGAGAACTGCAGGGAAACAACTGCTGCTAAGAGACAGAAATGGAGCAGGGTGAACTTGGTTTGCTTGGTTGTCTGAGTGCTGAGCAGCACCTGCCCACCCACAGCAAGAAGTGGATGAGGACAGAGCTTTGCAAATGAACTTTCTGATAATGCTGGTTTCCAAAGCCACTAACTAAGCAGAGCACTGGGGCATAAAGAACCTGACTGCATTAATGACTCTTATTTAGTTGTAACACTTTAATAATTTGCCCAGCATGGGCCCTTCCTGTTGGCTGGACCCACCTGCTTTTCATTCCTACAATGGAGTCATGTTCATGGTGGTGAGCTTATCATTTTTCTTTTATAGATGATTACTGCTTGAGTCATGTTTACCCTCAAACGCTCTCCTTTCAGCAGTGCTATGGGTGTTTGAAGGTGTTCCTGAAGGCAAACAAGCCTCCTCCTTTGGCCAGGATTTCACATTTAAACATGTCTTTTTGAAATGTCACCTATGTTTTTGTAAGATGGTGGTTCCTAGATTATGGCATTTCCATCTTGACTCATTTCTGCCCATAAATTGGTTTTAAACTTTGCAGCGGGGAAAACGGGAGATAAAATACCTTCCAGCTTTTACTTTTTCATCTTCTGTGTAGACAAGCAAATGCAACTAGATGACCTTAAAGGTCCCTTCCAACCCCAACCATTCCACAATTCTATGATTTATACGTTAACTCATAACATCAGTAGTCAGAAGATAACTACTAGGGTCTTGAAGAACCTTGCCCTGCTGTTGTTTCCATTATAGAGCTTCTGATTCCCTTCTTCCCTTCTTCTACTTGAAAACCTTTCTGTCACTTCACTTGATAAATAAACGTGCCCTTGAACATCTGTGCAAAGTCCTTCTTGGAGGCAGGAGGATTTTCCATCTGTATACTGATTATTGAATAGTCTTACTTCAAAGTATGTAAACCTTGCAGAACTCACTGACTGAGGGTGGTGAGGCACTGGCACAGGTTGCCCAAGGAGGCTGTGGATGCCCCATCCCTGCAGGCATTCAAGGCCAGGCTGGATGTGGCTCTGGGCAGCCTGGGCTGCTGGTTGGTGACCTGCACACAGCGGGGGGTTGGAACTGGATGAGCGCTGTGGGCCTTTGCAACCCAGGCCATTCTGTGATTCTATGATTTGCCATGCCTTCCTCAGCAGTTGTTTAACCAAAAGCTTTTCTGCTGGGTGCACAGGTAGCTGCTCCTTCCTTCTACCCAGAGGGTCAACAGCAGCACTTATCCTCAGCAGCAGTTGAGACAGAGGTAATGCAATCCCAATGAGAAGTTTCTTCACCGTTCCTTGAATTAGCCCCATCCTTTTCACAGTCGGACAGGCTTTGTGGCATTCTTACCTCGCAGCCATATCAGAAGATGTTCTGTGGTTAGAAATATTATTTTAAGTCATGCTTTCAAGGGGGCGATCCTAGGGCAAGGAGGAGCCTTAGGGCTGCCTGGTGTTACAGGGTGCTTGGTGTTCTGGCCTTGTACCTTCCAGACTGATACAAATCCTTAATTTCTTTTCACAAGCAAGGCCAGCACCACTGGGATGCAGGATGGACGGCTGGTGAGCACTGTGCTCGGCTTTGGGCCCTTCACTACAGAACAGCCATTGGGCTGTGAGGGACATGGAGCACAAGTGTGATGGGCTGAGGGGGCTGGGATGGGTCAGCCTAGAGAAGAGGAGCTCAGGGTGACCTCACTGCTCCTGCAGCTCTAGAAAGGAGGCTGTGGTGAGGTGAGATCGGCCTCTGCTTCCAAATCATGGTGATAGGACAAGAGGTGATGGCCTCCCATTGTGCCAGGGGAGGGTCAGGTTGGATGTTAGGAAACATTTCTTCTCCTACAGAGCGGTGATGCAGTGGCACAGCTGCCCGGGGAGGTGGTGGGGTCACCATCCCTGGTGGGGCTCGATGTGGGGCTGTGGCACTGAGGGATGTGGTCAGTAGGCACGGTGGGGGTGGGCTGGGTGACCTTGGGGGTCTTTCCCAACCTGAATGATTCTGCGGTTCTACACCCGTTTGCCTCCTCATAGAACCAGAGAGCGGTTGAAGCTGGAGGCTCCCCAGGGTCCGCCTCACCTGACTGTGCTTCACCTCTTTACGGTGTCGCCCCCCCCCCAGCCGCCCATCTCAGAGCTCCTCGGAGGGGGAGGGGGGGGACAACATTACGTCACACCCCGTTTGCGTCACTCTGACGTCACCCCCCCCCCCCCAGTTCTCCTCCCCGCTGGATCGCGTTCAGCTCCTCCTCCCCTTCCACTCCCCCCCCAACCCCGGGAGGCCGCGGGGCCGGGGCTGGTTGGAAGCGCTGGGTGAGGCGGGGAGGGACGGCCGCGTTCAGACCCTCCTCCCTTTCTTCTGCCCCTTATGGGATTTTCCAGAACGACCTGGCGAGTTTTTTATCTTTCTTATCGCTGTAACGTTCTATCGGTAACTAATGAGGGAGAAAATTGCTTGCATAAACATGTTTTTGTTGTAAGGTGAGTGACAGGTGCCTGCCTGTTATGTAACGCACAGCTCAGCGGGGGTCGCTCCGATTTGCTCCGTGTCAGCTCGTAAGCTTCTCCTTTCCCCCTCTTTTCCCCCTCCCTTTGCTTTCAGTTAACAAAATCCAGAAAATCCTGCTATCCAGGGGCTGTTTGTGCTTCACCTTTCAGCAGAGCTTTGCTCCATGCGCTGCCACCATTGGCTCGAAACCCATCCTTCAGTTATGACCCCGGGTGGGATGCATCTGTCAGCTCCAGCCCCTCTATCAAAACGTTGCAGACATCTCGGAACCAAGCAGATGTGAACCAAGCGATATCCCCGCCTGCTGCTCTCACCCTCATGCTCTCTCTTTTTTTTTTTAGCTGTGGGACAACTCCTACTTTCTGTCTCCTTTTGATTGGCTTCCTAAAGAGGCAGTGTCCTATAAATTGCAGTCTGCAGTGTGCTTCTGCCCTATTGCCGGCTGAGGGACAGGTGAGTACAGGGGGGAGTGCATTCTGCAATGTCATGTGTAATGCTTGAACGTGGTGTTGGTTGTTGGTTTAAATCAGGGGGGTGGGCGGAAATAACTGCAGTGTTTCAGCCTGGTCTGGTGGTTGGTGACCCCGCATGTAGGATGGGGGTTGAAAGTAGATGAACGTTGTGGCCCTTTTCAACCCAGGCCATTCTATGATTTCAGCAGCTAATCACTCGATTTTTTCCCTCTTACATTTAAAATAGGAAGGAATGCATGACATAAATGGCATTTTTTGCATTCAGTTTTGCTGCTTGGCTAACTGAAGGGTTTTCTGTGTCTGGCGTAGGATGTTTACAGCTCTTTTGGATCAGTCTGGACTTGTACATAAATTCCCCTGTTAAGCCTGTGCGTTTAGTGCATTTGGAGAAACTAATTCAGTGAGTGGGAAACTGACCTGATCCCACTGTGGCATTCTCAATAGCAACGAATTTTATTTAGTGTACTCTGCATCTAGAGATCAAAGTGTAAAATACTGCTTGAGGTGCTGTCAGGGAAAATGTTATGGATCAGGCATCCTGTGAGGCCTTCTTTGTGCAAGGCTGATGTTCAGCTTTGTGTCCTCCAGGACTTTTCCCTGCAGGGCTGCCTTCCAGTGCAGCATTGTAAGCTGAGCTGTGCTCATCAGTACTAGAGAATGGAGGTAGGAGAGAGGTCTCACTGCTTCTTGGATAGCAATGAGTCACATCTGAGATGAAGTCCAGGAATAGTGTTCAAATAGCTTCAGTAGGACTCCTTCAAGTGACAGAAAATTGCCCATCTTTGTATTGCTGTAAGTGAAAAGAACACTAATTAATAGGTTGCTTGCTTTTCTATGCTTACTCTGAATTGGTGCTGAAGACACCTGCAGCAATTAGCTACTGTCATTTCTTGTTACGGCCTTCCATCCTCCTGTATTTCTTGCTTGTGTGTGCAACAGGAAGAGAACTTAATTGACAATGTGATCACAAGCAAGCTACATTTTGGATAAGACAGTTAAAAGTCTGAAGGATTTTGAGGAAGAATTCTGCATTTGCTGTCTGTTGTACTTGAAGTTATGGTTTCTAGCGTAAAAAGGCTTAAATTTGAACTGAACTGTATGTTCATTCCACTGGAACCTGTGCTGGGGCTGTGGATGTTTTCTTGTGCTCTCTCTGGTAAATACATTACCGCTATTCATCTTCCTTCCCAGGCTGCTTCCAGCAGGCATGGCTCTCGGTTGGCACATCAGCTGGGGTTTGAATTGCATCAGGCCTCTTTATAAAGAGTATTCTGAAGGAGCATGTTTGAGTCACTTGTGACTAAGATTTTCTCCTGTTCTCACAGCGTGCTTGAAGAAGGAAGATGCCGATCGTTAGAAACGTGAGCAGAGCTGTCAGCCAGCTGCTCCAAAGCTCTGCTTGTGGATGTGGAGTTTCCATCGTGCCTGTTCGATGCATTGGCATCTCACCCCGCCAGGTGGCCTCTGATGCCAGCTTTCACTCGGTTTCTTTTTCCGAGTCTGATCATCCTCGGGTGCTAATTACAGGTCAGCATTCCTGTCATTACTGTATGCCTGCTCCAGGAATTCCACACTCCTCTCCTCTCTCCCCAGTGAGCTGAATAACGGAAGCAAAGATGTTCAGACCAAAAAATAAGCAAAACTTTCTGGAATTCTTATGGTCTTTCCTGTATGGTAATAGGATCTGAATCCCACGTGAATCCCCCATGTGTGCAGGGGGTTGGGCTCAAAGATTTCTATATGTCCCTTCCAACACCTACAATTCTGTGAACTTGTTTCCAGTTTTTATTCCAGAAATCCGCTAAAAACAATTGAGTTCTAAACTGTTCTCAAAGAAAACGTTGATTCTGAGAAGAAAGTGAGATCAGGGTGACCTCATTGCAGCCTTTCAGTACCTAAAGGGAGCCTACAAACAGGAGGGGAATCAACTCTTTTTACAAGGGTAGATAATGGCAGGACAAGGGGAAATGGCTTTAAGTTGAAGGACGGAAGATTTAGGTTGGATGTCAGGGGGAAGTTCTTTGCTGTGAGAGTGGTGAGGTGCTGGAACAGCTGCCCAGAGAGGCTGTGATGCCCCGTCCATCCCTGGAGGTGTTCAAGGCCAGGTTGGATGGGGCCCTGGGCAGCCTGGGCTGCTATAAAATGTGGAGGTTGGTGGTCCTGCGTGTGGCAGGGGGTTGGAGCTTCATGATCCTTGAGGTCTCTTCCAACCCAACCATTCTATGATTGTCAGAAGAGAAAAAGCATGTTTCTGATGTGATGCATGTGATACTGGGATGCTGTGTTTCAGTGCCACTTCTGTTTTGTCTCCTGTGTGCTGTCTTTTAGGTGGGCTCGGCCAGCTTGGTGTGGGACTTGCTAAACTCCTCAGGTACAGTATGATTTTTTTTACTCCATTGTACTGAAGAATTCAAACTTGAGTTTCAACTTTGAGAAGCAATAATTCTCAGGGAAGTTCTTTTTCAAAGAATCCTGCTGAGAAATTGGAGTTTTTTGGTGCTTGGTTTTGTACATAACCTTAAACTTTTGCCTTTCTTGACATTTCTGTACTTGGTTTATGCTCACTGACGTACTTTCTGTGTGTACATTGGTTGTGGTTCCCAAAATAATTTTGTCTGAGAGTTTGACCACTGAGTTCAGCTTGTTCCTAGTTCAATGGGAGTATTCAGAACCAATATCCTCAGAGTGTGGGCAGCCAAATAAGGCTGTGTTTCACTGCCTGAGAGAAAAAGGTTGGGATTTTATATAGGTGCTATGGGAGAGGAAAGGAGTACAAACACCCATGTGAAGAAAGCTGGAACTTTGCTAACTGCCCAGCAACTGCACTTAACAACTGCTGACCTTTTTCTCTATGAGAGTTTTAGTGGATCTGCTGCAGGAAGAAGATGCCCTGCTTAGTGCAGTGCAAACAGAAATAAAACTTGCTTCAAGACTGTGTACCCTGACATTTCATAATTGACAAAAGATGGGCTGATGCATCAAAAGTAGTAAATACGAAGTGTATCCCCTCTGCTGCTTCTTGTTCCTCCACCTCACACACACACAAACTTATTTTTTCCAAACTTCTATGAGCTCTCATCACTGTCCATATACTCACTCAGCTCCAGAGTGTAATTTGCATGCAGGCAGTGTTTGGATTGTGGTAAAAGTGAGCCCAAGTGCCGCATTTGATGCCGTGCTGCAGTTTGAATGTTTTCAAGCATTTCTGTGATATATTTGAAGTCATACAAATCATGGAAGGCTGCACTGCACTCCGATTCCATCAGGCTTGCTTTCCCAGACTGTGCTGAACAGTACAAGGCTGAGATTACTTTATCAGTTCTGTTTACCTTGCTGATAGGAAAACAGCTGCTGTTACAGCACGCCCAGTGGCTTTTTGGTGTCTGGGGGGGGGGGGGGCCGCCGAAATAGATTTTTCTGCATACAATTTTCAGCAAGAGGAGGGCAGGAAGAACTTCTTTCTCAACTTATTTTCTGAAAGATTTGTCTTTTTTTCCAATAGAAAGACTGCTAGAACTAATGTACAGATTTCCTAAGGCACTATACTGATACTAAAGACAAAGTGGTGGTGGTCTGTTTTGTTTTAGTAGAGCAGCTGAATTCACTGAAGAATTTGCTTTCCTTCTGCTATTGCTCCTGCTAATCAAAGTAGCAGAAGAGCAGCTGATGAGTTACTGTGAAGGCTGTGGACTCACTGTACCATGTGGGTGTTTTTCTACAGGAAACGATTTGGAAAGAACAATGTGATCTTGTCTGACATCCGAAAGCCAGCAGATCATGTTTTCTATAGTGGTAAGTGCCTGGGGGAGCAGATGGAAAAATACACTGACTTTACCAAAGTCTGAATATGCGTGGCTTACTGAGCAAATTGCTGCTTGAAACTACTGGATAGTGCCTTCCTGTTCTGAAATCCTGCCCAGGCATGGATTTCATCTATTAGTTATTCCCTCTTTCTAAGTAATTTTTCTCTGCATTTATTTTACTGTTTCTTTGCCACTTTGTTGACCAGGGTGAGTGTTCAGATCGAGTTGGAGTTGGCTTTTGGGCTCCTGCTGTAAAAAAAAAAAAAAAAAAAGAGAGAGATGTTTATTCTTTTGGAGGGAAGATGCTGTAAATGAAATGCCTGCTTTGTTCCTCCATTCTGAGGCAATTTAGATGTTAAGATGAGTGTAGAACATGTTTTTTGGACTCTTGTGTTTCTATTAAACTTGAATAGATTCTTCTTTCTCATCACAGCTTAATAATGTACGTAGATACTTGAATAGGAAATACTGAGTGTTTCCTTCTCTCATGCCACTGACTGGGTAAAAGAGGAGTTCTTCAATCAATCTATTAAGGAGAAGGTGGCAGTTCACCTTAATTTCTCCTTTCTGTTTCCTAATGTATTGGCTGCTGTTGGTACCAGGGTCTGTTTTGCTGTGCAGTCAAATCCCAAGTGGAGGGATGGGAAAGAAGCAATTTGAGTTTCATCTTGAGCTCGTCTTGACTTCCATGCTTCTTGGTGCTCACTTTCCTTCTGGCTCCGTTCTTTTAGGGCCTTTCATCTACTCAGACATCTTGGACTACAAGAATCTACGTGAGATAGTGGTGAATAACCGCATAACGTGGCTCTTCCACTACAGCGCTTTGCTCAGTGCTGTTGGAGAGGCAAACGTCCCCTTGGCCAGAGCTGTAAATATTACTGGTATGTGACAAGGGTTTCAAATTCTTGATTCCTCTAGGCTTCCTATAGAGGCTTGAGGAAGTGCAGTGGGTGTTCTGATAAATCCTGATATTGTTCCAGGTTTACACAATGTTCTGGATATTGCAGCCGAGCATAATCTGCGACTCTTTGTTCCAAGCACGATTGGAGCCTTTGGGCCCACCTCTCCTCGAGATCCAACTCCTGATCTCTGCATTCAGAGACCAAGGACCATCTATGGTGTCTCCAAGGTTCATGCTGAACTGATGGGAGAGGTGAGAACTTTTCTTCCATTAAAGTTCTGGGAGAATTCCATCGATTTGTAGTGGGTTTTCCACCTCCGTTTCCTTCCTTTATGTTTCAGTACTCTATAGCAGCCTGAGGCAGCAAGAAAAGTATTTTTGAGTTTTGTAGGAATAAGCACTAAGAATTAGAAACTGGCCAATTTGAGTTTCAATACCATTTCTTTCTCTGATTCTTTTGACTTTGACCTCCCTTCCTTATCTGCCAATGTGAATGACATTGCATAAATGAAAGCACACAAAGCATTGGGAAAGCACAGTAGGCAATGGTGACTTTTGCCAAAAAGTAAAACAAACAAACAAACAAAAACCCTCAGTTCTGCACAGTCAGAGCCATGAGAGTGTACAAGTTTGCACTGGCACAGGCTGCTCAGAGGGGTGGTGGTGCCCCATCCCTGCAGACAGCCAAGGTCAGGCTGGATGGGCTGTGAGCACTGATGGAGCTGTGTGTCCCTGTTCAGTGCAGGGAGTGGGGCAGATGGCCTTCAAAGGTCCCTTGCAACCTAAACCATTCTATGAATTTCTCTGTTGGCTTTGTACCAGAAACTTTTGAATGCTGAATCTAGTCCCAGTGTTAAAAGTCAATCCATATTGATCCATATATCCATATGATCCATATGAATCCATATCAAACTAGGTGATCTTAAAGATCTCTTCCAACCCAAACCATTCTGTGATCTAATAATGAAGAGTAGAAGAGAACAAGCAGACAGCTCGGTTGCCTGATAGGGAGTATAGACTGTTCAGTAATTCCTCCTCTTCTTTCCCTGTAAAGGGAAGGTTACAGAATAAAGGTTCATCCTGTGAGAGATTGTTCCTGTGGAAACAATGAGCTGTAAGGCCTAGCTTTGTTGTGTAAAACTGCTTCTCTCCTCCCTTGGTAGTACTACCATTACCGATATGGCCTCGACTTTCGCTGCCTGAGGTACCCAGGAATCATATCTGCCGACTCTCAGCCTGGTGGGGGAACAACTGGTAAGTTGTTTGTGTGCATTTCTCAATGTTTCAGACAAGAACAGCAAATCCATAAGCCAATGGAGTCATTTTTAGTCTGTTTATAGAATTTAATAAAGATTCAGTGTAGAGATTCTGTTTCAGCTGGAAGTTGTGACAGTTCTTCTGTCCATCGCTACCTTAGGGTGTACTTTGGTAGTCTTTAAGCACTGTCTGAGAGAGTTTGGTTTAGTCATGCTCATTGTGAGACCATTTTCTTTAAAATAAATAAATAAATTCAAGTCTGCTGTCTTGCTGCGATGTGCAAATGCTAGAATGACTTCAAGACAGTTTGAGATGGCTTCTCACATTCTGCTGTATCTTGTAAATCAAACACTTCTGCTGGGTTTTAGATGGGACACCAGAGGTAATCTAGTTAGGCTGAGGGAGCTGGGTTTGTTCAACTTGGAGAATGGAAGGCTGCAGGGTGACCTCATTGCAGCCTTTCAGTACCTAAAGGGAGCCTACAAACAGGAGGGGAATCAACTCTTTGAAAGGATTGATAATGGTAGAACAAGGGGAGATGGTTTTAAGTTGAAGGAGGGAAGATTGAGGTTGGATGTCAGGGGGAAGCTCTTTACTATGAGAATGGTGAGGTGCTGGAACAGCTGCCCAGAGAGGCTGTGATGCCCCGTCCATCCCTGGAGGTGTTCAAGGCCAGGTTGGATGGGGCCCTGGGCAGCCTGGGCTGCTGTGAAATGTGGAGGTTGGTGGCCCTGCGTGTGGTGGGGGGTTGGAGCTTCATGATCCTTGAGGTCCCTTCCAACCCAACCATTCGGTGATAATCTGAAGATTGTTGACTGTTATGATGTGAAGAACAGACTAAGGTAGATACACACATCCATTCTACTTTGCTACAGATTATGCTGTCCAGATTTTCCACGATGCCATTAAGACTGGCAAATTTGAGTGCAACTTAAAGCCGGACACCCGCCTCCCTATGATGTACATTGATGACTGTCTGAAAGCAACTCTAGAGGTGATGGAGGCCCCTGCAGAGGCACTGAGCATGAGGACGTACAACATCAGTGCCATGAGTTTCACTCCTGAAGAGCTGGCTCAAGAGGTGCAGAAGCACGTTCCTGAGCTTCAGGTGACCTACAATGTGGATGCGGTCAGGCAGGCCATAGGTGGGTATTGCATATTGGGTAATGGGAAATACTGGGTGGCTGTATGTCAGGAACAGAAGTGTTTTTCCTTTGAGACACTTGGGAATTGTCAACTGTAAAGTTCAAGTCTTATGGTCAAAAAATAAGCTTCAGTAGTTCAAATGACCAGAGATGATAGATACACCTTGGAGTTTAAAGGTACTACTTTTAAAGGACTTGGGGGTCCTGGTAGATGAGAAGCTGGACATGAGCCAGCAGTGTGTGCTTGCAGCCTGGAAGGCCAACTGTGTTCTGGGCTGCATTGAAAGAGGGGTGGCCAGCAGGGAGAGGAGGTGATTGTTCCCTTCTACTCAGCTCTTGTGAGATCCCATCTGCAGCACTGCGTCCAGGTCTGGGGCCACCAGTACAGGAAGGACGTGGAGCTCATGGAGTGGGTCCATAGGAGGGCACTGAGATGAGCAGAGGGCTGGAGCAGCTCTGCTGTGAGGAAAGGTTGAGGGAACTGGGCTTGTTTAGCTTGGAGAAGAGAAGGCTCCAAGGAGACCTCATGGTTGCCTTCCAGTACTTGAAGGGAGTGTAGAAACAGGAGGGGGAACGGCTGTTTGTGAGGGTGGGTGGTGATGGGACAAGGGGGAATGGTTTTAAACTGAGACAGGGGAGGTTTAGGTTGGATGTTAGGAGGAAGTTTTTCCCCCAGAGGGTGGTGAGGCACTGGAACAGGTTGCCCAAGGAGGCTGTGGATGCCCCATCCCTGCAGGCATCCACGGCCAGGCTGGATGTGGCTCTGGGCAGCCTGGGCTGCTGGTTGGTGACCTGCACACAGCAGGGGGTTGGGACTGGATGAGCACTGTGGGCCTTTGCAACCCAGGCCATTCTATGACTCTGTGATATTTATTTATTTTTTCCTAAGCCTTATGCTCCTTGTTTCTTGTTCTTTTCTCTGCAGCTGACAGCTGGCCAATGAACTTTGATGACAGCAATGCCCGGAGAGACTGGGGATGGAAACATGATTATGACCTCCCTGAGTTGGTGTCTACGATGTTTAGCTTCCTTGGGTCTGATTCCAGGATTGCTCAAGCTAACTGAAATATTTTATCAGATGTTTCCAGATTTCCACAGAGGACCAGGAAGAAATGGCTAAATGAGCTGTATAGTTTTGAGTCTTAAAGCATGTCAATTATTAGCTTTCCCAAATAGCAATGGAGTTGGGCAGAAGTATAGTGTAGCTGGAATGCTCTGTTTGATCAACAACATCATCAGGTGCTGTCTCCAAGCACCCATAGTACAGAATTCTAGAACTTTCACATTCAAGGAACTAGGAACAAAAAGCATGAATCTCCAGTCATTCTTTCTGCCTCATATCCAGCAAACAACAAGGGGCAGTACTGAAAACCTGATGTTTCAGGAAGATCCCACTGTGTTAAAACTGTTTTTCATTTCCCTGGTGGAGGTTATCAGATCGTAGTAATCTATGATCCTTTCCTCTCTGCTTACAGAAGAGAGAAATGAGCTACTTCACGTTTCCAAATTGCAGGCAGGGTTTTTGCAACTCTAGTTTGAAGTCAAATTTTGGTTAGTGTTTCATATTTATATATATTACTGTATAAACATACCGTGTGTAGGGCATACAAAGTAACTTCTTTCTTATAATGCCTATGAATGTGAAGAGGAATATAACTTGAATTCTCTTTGTGCTTTAAAAATGACAGGGTTTACAAGCTGAGCTTTTCCTGCTATTTCAAGATGCTGCTGCCATCAGTTTAACATCAGTAAATCCAAAACACAGAAAGCTGTTACATTTATGAGAATTCAGGGTTTATCTCAAGAAGACAATGCCCAGGAGTGGGGTTATTGTTAATTAGTGCTACTTCTGGTTATCCCTGTTGTTTGCTATGCTAGCATTATGACATGCTGCCTGGAGCAAGTTCTAAAGTTGGGCTGAATGATGGAGATTTATTTACGTTAGAGTCAGGCCGGCCTTTGAAATCTGTTCATGTTGGCTGCTTCTGTATGTGCTGCAGATGTGTTTGTAGATGCTATTTATGTGTAACTGTGGTACGCTTCTGTTCTTCAGAGAGGATTCCAGAGGCTGAAACCATCTCCTAGCTACAGTTAAGCCTATTCTGCTCATTGACTTTAATGCGCAGGAGCTTCTGGGATTAACAAGGGAATCTTAGTAGAAGGATGCAGAGAAGATATGTGTATCCAAAAGCTACTCACGAGACTTTGAAAGTGAGAAATGGCAGACTGGAGAGACAGGAAAGCCTTTTAAGGCAAAACAGCAGTCTTGAATCTGAGCCACGGGCTGCTATAGGAATATAATATGCCTTGAGAAGCAACATCTGGAAACCTGGATTGTGTTCTACTTTTTCCAAAGAAAAAATAACTTCTGTTTTCAAAATGACTGGAAATCCCCTAGATGAAGCTCTCCATCTTTTTTTGTCTTGTATACTCCAGCTGCCCTTGTAGGTATTACATTCAGTGTTTTCTGGTCTGTGTTGTTCACCAAGTTTTCTGTGGCAAGGCCTTGGTAACTGTGAGCCTGCTTCACTCGGTAACCCTGCAGTGTTTCTTCAGTTAGTGGCTAATTGATGTGACCTGGTTTCTGTCACTTTGTGAGGGAATCTACATGCTACAGGGAAAATGGTTTTCTCATGAAGTAACCTTCCAAAATGATACAGTGAAAACCAGAAATCATTTTAAACATGTATTAAACTTGTGTCTCTTGGTTTTGTATGCAACTTTATCTGTTGGCAAAGCGTGCGTTTCCCAAGCACTTAAGCTCAAAACCCCTCTAGGGTTGTGGCCTGTTCTTAAAACTTTCTTTATGATGTTTACATTTCTGAAAAAGGCAAGTTTTTAAATGTTCACCACTGTTGTAGCTCTCATGTTGTTCCAGTGTGATATTTGGGCCAATGGGCCAGCAAAGTTGGACTTGTTCATACCATCCAAGAATAGTTTGACTCTGGTTTTGTCCTCTGCCCTGCCAAAACAGGATTGTCTGCCATTAAACTGTTACACCGATCCTTCAGATAAAGGGCTTAAAAGGATTTAAGAAGTTTTGTCCATTTGAGTCCTCCTTAAATCAGTGCCAAGGGGCTCCTTGTCCTCCATTCCATGAAACCAGCCAAAGAGTTGTTGATGGGTCTGATTCCATCTCTTTGATTCAGAGAAAGTCACGGGGTCCCACTCCGTTTGCCCTTGTTCAGAGCTCTAGTTGATGCTAAAAGGAGTGAAGAACGAAAAATCCTCTTTCTTCTGAAGCAAGCTGTCCTTCACTGTGGCATTGCACAAAAGCTTTAAGTTGTTAAAGTGCAGGTGGAAAAAAATCAGGTGAAAAATGCAGGTGAAAATCAGACCTTTGGCATTTTAAACAGTGTGTTGTTTACCGAAAGTTGCTGACTAATTTAAGAGCATTCTGTTTTTTAACCTGTGACCAACGATGCCTGTTTTCTTTTTGCATATCTTCCCTGTAACTTCTGTTGTAACTTTGCTGCAGTACTTTCTGTACTAAACCAGTTTGATGTGATACAGAGTGCACAACTTTTTCTACCAGTGTGAAGGCTGACTCCTGGGCTTAGATTTTCCCATGACATTTGAGTGTTGCAGCTGTTACCTATTCAGGGAAAAACAAAGTTGGAAATATTGTTTTTCAAATCCTGCAAATTGTGGGTGATGCCTACTTTAATAAAGTTCTATACAGATGTCTTTGCTTTGTCATCCTTGGTTAGATCACGTAGATACTCTGGTCCATGTTGCAGAAGGATGCTCGTGAGTGCTGAAGGCTTTCCTTTTGCTGCAGAAGTGATGGATCATTTGAAGCAGAGATCCATCCCTTGGCAGTCTGTGCAGTGACTCTCAGACACTTGTATCTACACTTTCTGCTGATTACTCCAATTGCTCTGTACAGTAGGCAGCTGGTCACAAGCAGATACAGCACACTTAAACATTAGCAAGGCATAGGCAAGTGTCTGGGCTGTGCTTTGTAGGTGGGTGGTTGTAGCCCGGTTTGGGTTTCAGATTTGCTTCTGTCACTTCTAGATCTCCTACCCCTTTTGTAGGGTATGGAAAGCCAGTTGGTCTATGCTCAGTCATGTTTCTTCTTATCTCTGCATCTTCAAAATAACAAAAAAATAGTAATGTTCTGATGGAGATAGCTTTAGATCGCTGTTCTAAAGGGAGGTGAGAGGCAAATGGATGAAGCTAAGCTCTTCTCATCGGTGCACAAAGACAGGGCTAGGAGCAATGACCTGAAACTTGTACATAGGAGGTTCTGTACTAACATGCAGAAGAACTTCTTTGTAGTAAGGGTGACAGAGCACTGGCACAGGCTGCCCAGAGAGGTGATGGAGTCTCCTTCTATGAAGGTATTCAAGACCCCTCTGGATGCTAACTTATGTGATCTGTTGTAGGGAACTGCTTTAGCAGAGGTTGGACTTGATTTCTTGAGATCCCTTCCAACCCCTGCAGTGCTGTGACTCTGTGATCACCCTTCAGATCCCAAATCAGGCTCTGCAAAAAACTCTGTGTTTTCGGTTTGCTCTGTCATTCAGAGATTTGAGAGCACTTGGCCTTGAAACCACATTCATGCAGCAAAAACAAAAGCCTCGTAACCTTTTTACTTTTAATTCTCAGATTTACTTCTGCCTGGATTGCCTTGGAGTCAGCCGTTGTCTTTGCTGACCTCTCTTCTCTGTTCCCATTTAAGAAGGAACACAGAGCTGGAGCAATGCTGATACCACGGTGCTTGGTGAATGATGCTAAAAAGAGTTAACAAAGGAACTCTGCTCTTTCTCAAGGTGAGAATGCTGTTGTTAGGCATCACATAGGCTTCAAAGTTGGTGCTCAACTACGTGCTTCTATGGCAACGTGCTGTTAATGCCCATGCTACTCAGCTTGGAACTGAGCTTGCTTCCAGTGCTCAGGATAGGATCTTCCAGTCCTGTGTGAAGGGCTGGGATCCCATCTGAGTCTGGGATGTAGTTTCAAATCCTGCCTGGTTCAGGATTCTGTTGGATGATTGATTCCTAATGTGGCACTGATTTACCATTTCACCCAGGCTCTGTGCCTCGGGGGTGGAGGAGGGAGAGGCAAGAAGAGAAGGAGCTAAAGTTGAGGTTAGCCAGAGGGCACTGTGTGGGCCTGCAGGGCTGGGATGCCGATGTTTCAGCTCCCATTCATGCTTCAGGCAGTGAGGGGGCTTTGCTGGCATACCCAGGGCAGGTTGTTTCTATTTCAGTCAGATGTTGGCTTGAGATATGAAACCTTTGCCCTTATCCTGGAAGGTTGGGCCAGACGAGTGCTCTTCAGACTATTTTTGGCTGGATACCATAACTGTATGTGAGCTTAAATTCTCCACAGGTCTGAGCACTTGGAGGGGGTGTGCAGGAGGTGTGTGCTTGCGCATGCCCTGCGAGTATAACACAATGGGGTTGCTGTGTACAGAATTACTGTGCAGATCTTCAAGCCTTAGAGGGCTCAGTGCCCTCTCCTCGTGGGTCCTACAGCAGAAAATTCTGACATTAATATGAAAAATATCTAGCTCTCCTGTAAGTGATGGGTTTGGACTGAAACTTCCCATGTGGATTTTACTACCGCAGGATATTCAGCTTTACTTTTTTCTAGGGCAACCTTCTGTCTTGAAATGTGTTCCCTATCAAAGGATTTCAGTGGCAAATCCCATAACTTTTCTGATCCGGAAGGCATTTTTTCAGCACAGAAATGCTGATTTCTCTTGTGGACCTCATCTTGGCACTGGGAAAAGCAGAAAACACTTACAGGTGTCAGTGCTTGAAGGCTTTCTTATTTCGTTGTGTTACTGTAGTCACTTTTGCCTTTACATAGGGAACAGCCCCACACTAATCTGCAGGCAAATGGAGAGAGGTTGTCAAGTCTCCTCATTGGAGAACTCCCAAAGCCACACCTGGACGTGGTCTTGGGCACACTGCTTTGGGTCCAGAAGGACCCAAGGTCCCTTCCAACCACAACCAAGCTGTGAATCTGTGGAAAAATCATTGTGGCCCCAGAGTTTAGAAGTGTTCCTGGGTGATAAGAGCTGGTGTAAGGAGAGATGGAAAGGAAAAGGGGCTTAGAGACATGGTTGGAGGCAGATAGACCTGGGTGGTTCCAAGACAGCTCTACACCCATCACCTCAGCACCCTAGTTTTTCCCCCACCTTGCTGCAAGTCACTCAACTTATCCCTGCATTTGGTCCTAATCCCTTGGACCTCCACAACCCCTTGCTCATCATGGGACAGGGCAAAAGCCCTGTTCCCAGCAGGATGAATGAATCCCCAGGCATTTTGCTCTGCAGTGGGGTCATGGCATGTTGACGAATGGGTTGGACAACCTTCAGGCCAATCTTCAGTAGAGGAGTTCTTGGCAGGGGGCACCAGTCCTGCCCCAAGGACACCAGCAAGCTCATCATTTTTTGGCAAGAAATGGTCATTGTTGCAAAGATGATCTCTCCTTACCCGCCTGGTGCAATAGGTCTTTAATCCAGGACTTTCAGTAATGGCAGGGTGAAAACCTGTCAACAGCTGAACTGTTGCAAAACCAACATCACGGGAGGCAAAACAAAGTCCAGAGTCTGTCCACCAGCTGTCTGCTTCCCTTTCAATTGACACTGCCAGTTCTCTGGACCTGCAGCTCAAGATTCATGAGATTCTGGTATGTTTTTAAAGCTCTGCCTCCAAGAGTCCAATGGTTCCATGGGGGTGCATTGCACGGAGTGTGGCCAGCAGGGAGAGGGAGGTGATCCTCCCGTCTGCTCTGCCCTGGGGAGGCCACATCTGGAGCACTGTGTCCAGTTCTGGGCTCATCCAGCTGATCTCCAAAGGTCCTTTCCACTGAGGTCCGCTTTTTCATGGCTTTTTTTCTCATGAAGCTAACTTTTCATGAATTTTAAACTAATCAAAACCCAATCCTTTTTATTAGTAGTCCCTTCCCCTTGCCTTAGCCCAGCATCCTCATGCCCACACTCATGCGTCCCTCCGTGCCCTTCCCCATTGCATTTGCCTCTGGGGGTGATAAATAAACAATTGGAGGGGCTTGTATCAAGCATGTGGGAAGAAAATGGGTATAATCTGGGATCTTGCAATTGGACCCCAGTGCTCGCTGGACACACTCTGTGTCCCCCATCACTCATGAAATACTGCAAACACTACAGAGATGTCTGAGCTGCTGATGACCCATGGCTGCCCAGGGTGTTTGCTCTGTTGGCAGCAGGTCTTGGAAACAGTGCCAAGAGTAGATTTTCTACCTCTAACCCCCTCTGCCTGGCAACAGCAGCTGTGCCAATTGTCCAAGATAAGCTGAACTTCGGGAAGAGAGAGCAGGGACATTTCCCTTCCATCCTCAGGACCTTGTGGGTCCTTGGCCAGAAAGAACCATCCTGAGTGGTTATATCATTTTTCCATCATTTTTCTTGGGATCACATCACGATGGGGTCTGGACAAGACATCTGTGCAAGTGTCCAGGGCAGTTTGGAGAGGTTAGAATATCCCAAGTTGGAAGAGACCCACAGCATCATCACAACTTGATCTACTAGATGGCAACACTGCCCATGGCAGGGAGTTGGAGCTGGGTGATCCTCAAGGTTTCTTCCAACCTAAACCAATCTTAATTCCAGGTATGATCACTGAATCCAACTTCTGGCTCCACAAAGGACCGCCCTAAATTCATCCCCTATTTCTCAGCTATGAAGCCTTGGTGTGAGGCCCATGTGCATCCATCTGCCACCTCTTCAGGCAGAAATGTGGAAACCAAAGTCTTCTTGACTTTTGGACCAATAGGAATCATCTTCTATTCTTCCTGTGTGCCTCTCCCTAAAACATTCAGTAGTCTGTTGGCCTTGAAAAGAGGCCAAGAAGAGATGTGAAAGTCTTGTGTAGTGTGGACACTGAGGAGTTCTGGATTTGGCCACAAAGGAAAATGTATGTAGTAGAGAACCCAGAGGAGAAGGAGAAGAATTAGGAGGAGGACATGAAATCTGACTGTTGGTCTCTGCCTTGGTGCTTTTGATTTCCCTAGGAATGCTCTCTATACAGACCGTGAGGATTTGAGACTGAAGGATTGCTGGACCTTCAGTGATCAGTGCACTGAGGTGGTCTGAACTCTCCATCAGAGGTCCTTCCCCCTCCAAAAGAGACACATGCAGCATCCCAGCCCTGTCTCGTCTGCAAGGAGTGCAAGCATGGCTGGACTCACCTTTATAGCTTGGAAGATTTTCCCAAATTTCTTCCCATTCCCAACTCTTTCCATCACCAAAGGAAGATGTCTGGGATATTTTTTATTTTTATTTTTATTTTTTTATGTGTGTGGTGGTGACTTCACTTTGGAAATGTGAAGCCCAGGTGCTCTCCCAACACTTTGCAGATAGTGCCAAGTTGTTTCTGCTCATTGCTCTGGCTGATGTTTCTCCACAGTGCTTTCTTTCCACATGGATAGTGATTAGTTATTTGCTGAGCTTGGGGCATTAGCTTCTGGTGCTCTGCTTTCCAAAGCCCTTTCTGTGCTGCTAGAAGCCGCATCTCCATCTCCAGGACATTCCCCATGTCACAGCTTTGTCACCCGACCAGGGCAGGGGTCCCCATTCTTGCCTGTTGAAGTGGAAAGCTTAATTTAAGACTTGGCCTCTCTCAGGAAGCTGTTAATTAATCAGTGCTGCCACCGGCTGGGAGATAGAGATGCTGGAGTTTGCAGCAATT